CGATGTTGAAATCCAACTCTGTAAGTGCCTATACATGTCAACTTGGTCAGCTAGAATCGAAGCAAATCTGAGAAAATTTGTGAGATATGTCCTACGACGACTTCCGTGGCGTGATCCGTTGAACTTACCACAATACGGTGATCGACTGTTAGGACTACAGACCAGGGCTGTCTTGCATCAACGTTGAGAGAGCAAAGTCAGTGATGAAAAATATTGTATTACTATCTTCGTCGCACTCCAAACAGCGCATGACAAATTCCTTATGAAGGCAGTCCTCTTTCATTAACGTTGTAAAAAAAACTATCTCAGTACACACTTAATTTAGCTCGGTAAAATCTCCAACAGCCGATTACCTCGGCATTTAATTTTGGTGATACCTCTGCAAAATATCTGTTTGTTAGCTGATATCTCAGCAAAATGTTGTTTGTTAGCTGAGTCTCGGCAATTGCTTTAAATTGCAGAACTGCTCGGCTGTTGGAATCTCGACGAAAAAATTTAAGTGTGTACGTTCTCTCTCTCTCTCTCTCTCTCTCTCTCTCTCTCTCTCTCTCTCTCTCTCTCTCTCTCTCTCTCCACCTCCCTCCCTCCCTCCCTCCCTCCCTCCCTCTCTCTCTCTCATCAGAATCAAATTCCAAAAAGACACGTGAATTTTACGAGAAATATAAAATAATCTGTCACCATACGAGGCACAAATTACCCAAATGCGTCACATTTCGAATCAATAATATTCAGACATGGTTTATAGCATAACCTTGGCAAATGACATGGATGTGTTTCACAATTAGTGCGAAATTAAGTGTAAGACACATGATGGTGACGTGTTGATTTTTTTTAACTGTACACTCTGAAATATCTTTGATTAATGTTTGATATTTTTGGGAACACAATTTTAGAGTTTTCGTAGTTGGCCCATTTTATTCGTCGACACCCTTTAATATCAATATCGTGAGTCACCCAAGTAACAATCATCAACCGCTAATTTAAAATGTGCAATGTAATGTTGGAATAAGGCTATTAACGGGACTAGTGGCTCAGTCCTGCTATATCTCGACCGTTTACGACGATATTGATAAAAAATGACTTTTCTCGATGATTTCTAGAGCTCACCTACGCAAATCAACATCGGGTGAGGGAAGATTTCCCCTACCCGATGGTTATTTTGGTTTACGTGGGCGTGCCTTGAATTCCTATAAACAATCGAGAGAAGTCATATGTTTACAAAAGCTGTTACGCCCTTATTCCAGCTTTATTTTGCAATGACCTTCAAAGGATGTCATGTTTATCAGCGTCATGTCATTTGTCAATGACGAAAATGTGCACGTATTGTTTTCACCTAAATTTCTGACTCAATTAAATGAATTAAGTAATATTAATCCATAGAGCCATCAAAGTAAAAATGCATCTTCGTCCACAACTGCATTTATAACAATTATGTTAACGAGAATGCATTACATTACACTTATTGTTTCCAGGTGAATCTTTGTCACTGACAAAAAGTAAATGAAATTTTGACGAAGGTTTAGGTGAGATTAAATTCTTCCAGTGACAATGTCAAAACTAATTTTGTAAATATCACGTGAAATCTGTCAAGCGCTGACCGAGAGTTTATGAAAGACTAGCGTTAGTACATGCACATAATTAAGATCTGGATCTAAAGCAGACGTAATGATTTTCGAACCAATTTTAAGACCATGACTAAAATCTATTAAGATATTGTATGTTGATGCCGCTTACTTCATGTCACACCACGCGCTGTTGAAACTGGTGATTACATAAACCAAAACCAGTAGTCAATCCAGTAGTAGCATAGAGGTAACTCTAAGACCACTGGGTCCCGAAGAAAACCATTATTATTTTTGGCTCACTCAGTACCAGAACAGCGGTCCCAAGCAGTCCCAAGCTATTTCACTCACCCCTGCATATTCTGCATGAATCCACACACCCCTGATGTTATCTGTCAAACTTTCATAGCGAATCAAAACAAACATAGTATAGTAATAGAATTTCAACTAGAATAGGGTACGTTAATCGTTTGCTTGGGACCAATAGGCTACTAAAGTGGTGAGCCAATTTAAAATCGTTAGTTTCGTATTGATTGTTGGTAGTAGTGTTGCCATGTGGTTCAATCCAGTAGTAGTGGGGTTGCCATGTGGTACACTGAAAAATTGCAATAGCAGGTGCGTCACCAAAGTTTTCGAGCCGCTCCGTCTGTCACTTCCTTTTGTGGTATAATATGGAATAAATTGAGTAACATTAATAGTCAATTAAATTGTATTGAATAATTAAAAAGTTATTTTATCCTATCAGTATCCTTCGAACATCGACATGAAAAACATTTACACTAGAAATTGATATTATAGCTAAGACTTACTATGATCAAAATATCATCAATGTTAACAATATTTGAAAATATTTTAAAATACTTAAGAAAGATTTAATAACACCATAGAGCTAACTCTAAGACCAGAAGGTTCCGAAGAAACGTGCTCAACTTTTTGGCTCAGCTCTGGTACACACAAAGAATTATCGTTGATACAATTAAAAAAAAACATTGGTAGAATTAAAAGTTTGCGTTGGTTCTTTTTGGTAGAAAGTCTTTCGCATTCAAAACAAAAGTCAGCCAACTGTCAATTCAAAAGTAAGCCGCACCCTATTTTTAAAAGTAGAAACTTTCAAACCGAATTGTACTACTGTCAAAATAAAAACATGGCAGTTTTTAATTTGAAAGCAGATTGTTTCTAATCCACTACATACTTTTGGCAGAAAAGTGTGATATAGTTAAAAAGATATGGTCTATTTTGAATCTACATCAAAATTGTTTTTAGCATGAAAAAATTTACTTTTAGATGAAATACTTAAATCTTTTAAATAGAAAGGTTATGTATTCAAAATAAATGTTTATTATATCAAGCGAAAAGTATAGCAGTATGAAAATGAAAAGTTTTCTCAAATATCACTTTTAAAATGAATGTTTACTATAATTAAAATGATTTTTAAATCTTTCATTTTAAAAATTGGATATTATTGATATCACTATTCTTGTTTTCAAAATAAATGTTTATGGATCTTAAAAAGTTGAGCTGAGCACAGGACGTGTGACTCTAAGAATATACAAGCCTGTCCAATCCTGAACAATTCTGTTTTTATCCTTACACGACCCTCACAAGCTTTTTTTTTTCATGATCGTTCTCATAGGGATAGAAAAGCAATGTTTGGATTTGGATTGGATGATTGATTTGTATACTCTTAGAGTTACACCCCTTGCCCTATTTGCTGTATCTAACATAGCTTTTTTGTGTATCAAAACACACGTATGCAAATCAGCATTATTGACATTAAAGAAATATCTTACAATAAGGGATCATTCTGTTGGTTTGCATGTGTTTAGAGACTCAAGAATTTGGCTAGTCATTGTTGATAAAGGCAAATAGGAAATAATGTGAGAATACCTGATTTATTAAACGGATAGAATGGAAAATACAATGCAGGTTTTGTACCTAGTTTGAAACAATGCCTTCATTTTGAATCAAGTTTGAATGATATATTAATGACTGTAATAATAAGCCTAAAAAATGCGTTTCAATGCTGTGGCCCAGTGCGACTGGCTCATTTCCGGAAACGAGCTTGTTCGCAGCACTAACACCCATTTTGCAGGCTAAGTATGCAGGCTTTTTACAATGAACTCAAAATGGAAGCACAGAGTCCTTAATGATAATTAACTGTCAAACATAGTTTATTTGAAGATATTCAAGATTTATTACATTCATATTCTGTACTAATGATGGTAACGCTTAATGGAAATATTTTTTCAACCTAACGTAGCATTTCCCGTTATTCAGAAAATATAAATGTATCGGAGGGCCATCAAAACAGTCAGGCTCCAGAATTACGTAATGATCCGTTTTTTTTTTCCTATTTCATATGATACATAGTGTCTATCGTACCCTAGAACCTCATATTCAATCCCAATTACATGAATTTTTTCTTTGTCAAATATAAGGTCATGGATTTCGTACAGTTTAACATTCTGCTTATTGGTAATGCTTAAAAAGTATTCGCGTTTATACAACGTTCCTTTGAAAGTTACTTTGTCACATACAATGATTTTCTGTTCATTAAGATCTAGGTTAAGTTTTTTAGAGTAATGAAGATCGGACCAGTGAACTTCCATAAGACAACAATATTCAAGGTCTGGCTTAAAAAACTGATTATTATACAAATTATTGGAAAATTTCAACGAAGCTTTAACAGCGATTGTATGTAAGATATTTCTCCTAGTTTTTACGCTTCGTGCAACAGTTTTGTGTTGCTGGTGCTCTTCCTCGAATTTAAAACACTTCATAAATCGAACAGGACCACTCTTTCTAATAACATCGCAATAATGCAAAAGTAAATGAAACTTTGGTTTTAGCTTAGATTCTGGAAACAGTTCTAAGTAATTACTGTGATGATATTTAATTTCGTTTTGTAGCGTTGCGAGAGAATCGTTATCAAAACTTGGCAAGAGTAGTTCAACTATTTTAACAAGGGAACACAAAAAGTCCCATACGGGGTCATCTGCTGGTATCATGTTTCCAATAATTAACGGAAAAAAATGTATGAAACTCATCATTTGTCTAGAAAACATCTTGAAATTGCATTCTTTTATGTTATTCATGGTAATTGGTTTTGAAAGGTACTTCAGCTCTGTTTCACCTAACTTAAACATTTGTTTTCTGTAGTTTATCGTTTCAAGACTTATATTTAGCGTGTTCATCAAATGTCCGAAAACTTTGACTAAATCGTATTTGCAAACACCTGATAAAAACAAATCATGCATGAGATCAACTCCTGCATTCTGCGTTACATGGAAATGTCTTAAAATATGGAAAACAGATTCACGCTTTACACCGGTTTTTCTAACATCGTTAATATCAACATCTTCGTCGTAGTTTTCTACGTTTCTTACCAAGCTAGAATGAATGTGGACATCCTGTTCCATTGTACTCTTATGTCTTTTACAAAAACGGCAATAAAAAAATGAGTTGAACGAAGTAGTGAAATCCAAAAGCATGTTAATTCCTAAATTGTCTCCTAAAATAGCTCCTAGTACAAAGAACACGTGATGTACGTCTCCATCTACCTCTAGATCAATTCCATCATTTTCCAACTTACAAAAAATTTCGATAATCGGTTTCACTGATTTTTGAACTCCATACTCGGAAAAATCGTTTGAGTTTACAAATGCAGCTACGAAAATATTTTCTAACCGTGATAAATGATGCGACGGAATTGTTGGAAAATTGTAATAAAACCCACATATCTTATGGGTTCCAGCATTCGATCCCAACGGATCACAAATTTCAACCTCGTCCGAATACAGGAAATATGGAATCAAAATATCATTTTTACGAACTTCTTTGACCTGTCTCCAGAGTGAACCATTTATGAAATTATTAATTGAATTCGATTTTTCTATGCTCCTTATGTTTTCCATTGTCTTATGGAAATTGGATCCACTTTCAAAATACTTTTTAATTTGAAATTCAATTGGCATGAGACATCCTCGTACATGTTCAAGATCTATCGTTGGTTCACCATGTAAAACCATCTCTACCAATTCTTCATTTATTGTGTACATTGTTGGTAGTTTCATCAGGTCGTGAGAATTAAGCTGCTTGAACAGGCGATGTTCGGAGGAAATAAAAGAAAATGGTTGCCTCAACTCCTGTACAACTAACTGCAGATCTTTCTTTCTGGTTGCATCTGTCATGAAGGGTATAGTAGCTTCTGATATAATATTCAATATAGGTTGGACCACCTTCAAGGTTACGGCATTCTGAATGCTTATGACTTCTTTTCGTGTTGTTCTGCTATTATTATGTAATCCTAATGTAAATTCAAAGAGCGAATTTCTTACTCTGTTTATTTCTTCACTCAGATTGTCTCGTGGCTTAGCTTCTATCGGATTATCCTCAAACTCTGCTTGAGTTGTATTACTGTTATCTAGATTTACGCTGTTTTCAATTGGTGCATTTTGCTCTACCGTTTGCTCGTGACGATTTTCTTCGACAACCTCATGTTTATTTTTTATATGCTTTCCGTAGCTATACACGTTCTGGAAACTCAAATGGGGATCACATTGAACACATTTGAATGTGAAATGGCTGGGGGTGCCATGTATTCTTTTTAGATGCCGGATAATTGAGGATGCTTGATTAAACACTGCTGAACATATGAAGCAATTCATGATTTCAGAACTTTCTGAAGTTGCACAAGTGAACTAGTTTTAGAATATTTTACATGGCGTTCTTGCATGAAGAAATCACGAACAAACGTCCAGAAAAGCTCATTGTATGGTGAAAATTGAAGATCGAAAACCTTGCAGCTTTTCACAACAATATCAATACATTTTAGAAAAGAGCAGGGCTTCCAGAACAAGTCGTCCTTCACCACATAAAACTGGGTGATACAAGCGTCCTCAGCACCGACAACGATGATACTTGGTTGATAACAAGTTTTCTTCTCTTTCAGCTTTTCAAGTGTTGGACCAATATCGCTTGCTGTTAAACAGTGTATGAGAGAATCCGACTGCGCTTGTGCAATTGAAGGAAGGGTTCTTCCACCAATACGTTTTGGTTTGATGACACCGGGGAACAATTTATAGATGAGAAAATTACGAGAGCCTAAAGGAACAAAAAATACAAAAGTAAATAAATTGGGCCAATAGTAAATCCTAAAATCCAAACTTACACACTGAAATGTCCGTCCGATGCAGTTTATCAATAATTTCTAGGCAAGATTTCTCCCGTGGTTCATTAGCAGTGACGTATTCCATAAACTTTTCAGAAAACGAGGGCCAACCAACTAAGAGTCCGTTTCCTTTTCCGTCCGTTAGAGCATTGTAATCAATGTCCAGCTGCCGAAGAAAAAAAAAACATAGAATGTAGATATAAATATAAATAAGAACTTTTATCACATGGCAACACTAAATGTACTAGAATGTTTTGGTTCTATCTCTTTCCCTCTACTCTAAACTGAAATGCATAAAAAATGACAAAATGATACACTCTTTTCACACTGTCAAAGATCATATTGCTCACAAAATCAACTATGTTCAAATCAAAACAAAAATAATAGCCCATCATTGATTTCTTTGCCAGTTATTCGTCTGTCACTTTGTTTGTGGTGGAAGCAACAATCAATACGAAACTAACGATTTTAAATTGGCTCACTATTTGACTAGCCTATTGGTCCCAAGCAAATCGATTAACGTACCCCATTCTAGTCGAAATTCTATGACTACACAATGTTTGTTTTGATTCGCTATGAAAGTTTGACAGATAAAATGAGGGGTTAGTGGATTTTCCTATGTTTCGAGGGGTGAATTGATTAGCTTGGGACCGAAGAGAATACCAGAGCTGAGCCAAAAAGTTGAGCACGTTTCTTCGGGATCTTCTAGTCTTAGAGTTACCTCTATGGTGGAAGTGCATCTAGAACACCAAGTTGAGAGCACGCAATAAGCTAATATGCGATATGCAATAAGCTTGAAATGCGAAGAAAAAGAAGAAGAAACTTTAACTGAAATGGTTATGGAACTTTACATGAACGTTTGTGGGATAAAGTTTTAACCTTATGTATTATGATTCTTTGGAATTGAACCTTACAAAAAATGGGTTGTTAAGAACCATTACCATTCAAAATAGTTGTTTTCTCCATACATTTTCGGAGAGGGACTATATTAGAACCTTTTTACTAATGGTTTGAGAACTTTAATTGTAATGGTTATGGTAGTCAGTAAGGTCCATTAATGGTTTTGTATAATCGGTCAACTTTACGTGGAATATATCGCGAATTGGTAATCAGTAATTTACAGGCAAGGTATTCGCGATATATTCCACATAAAGTTGATCGATGTTACAAAACCATCCATAATACCATAATATATAAGGTTAAAACTTTATCCCACAAACGTTCATGTAAAGTTCGATAAACATTTCAGTTAAAGTTTAGCAGGGATTATAAACAATGTCTAACAATTTTTGGTGAGGTCAATTAATGGTTCACATTTATGTGGGTTTTTATTTGCTGTGGTGTGCTGTTTTCATTTTGTTTCACCTTTTAAAGCGTTTTTTTTTTTATTTTTTTCAATCACAAACATCTACAACAGCGTTTATTTTGCTTTTCTTATGAAAAGTATTTCATTTGATATTGATAGTAACATTAAAATCTAAAGGATTTATTCTAATAGGGTCCCGCGCTACTTCGACATATAGAGCCTATCATGTGTTGAAATGGAATGACACATTTTAGAAGTGTATGATGAAGAGAAGTGTGACGCTAAATTCTTCGTAATAGTACGTTCAGACTACAGAGTTATAACATGTTATAGCGCCATCTTGATGGTGGTTTCTGTGTTGCAATTATTTGACAACCGTTATAACATGTTATAACTGCTCAGTCTGGCCAGCGTTTAAAACTAAAACATTGTGTCTAAGAGCCTTGTCTTTCATCACAACATGCAATGACATGCAACGAGGGTTCGTACCATAGACCTTTTTGACGTTTAACCGCCTTTCTCTATCTAGCACACATGGATGAATGGACGATTTGTTTTCCCACCAATCTGTTTCCCTCTTGCTCGCACTCGTTCGATTTAAATGGTGCAGTAGTGTGCGCCGATTAAACGTCAAAAATCTCTATACACAGCAAAAAAAAATGTAATATCGATCAATTTAATTCAAGCTGATGTATGAAATAATGATGTGATAGCAAAAAGCAGATACAATATTACATCAATGGATGTAATTTTGTTTGCAAAATCGATGTACATCGTACAACGTTATATTACACAACCGATGGATTGACCTGGTTGCAGCATCGTCATCCTCAATCCGATTTATCCTTGCGATTACAAACCAAAACATTCAAGGTGTCAGAAATACCGGGTTGCCGGTATGGGTATTTTACAAACAATCGCAGCTTGCTCTATTACCGGCACAATCGGCACACCTGCGGCACATTTGAGGCACACTTACAAAAAAGATGACCCAAGATTGGTGTGCGGAGTGACCTACCATAGAGGTAACTCTAAGACCACTGGGTCCTGAAGAAAATCATTATTATTTTTGGCTCACTCAGTACCAGAACAACGGTCCCAAGCAGTCCCAAGCTATTTCACTCACCCCTGCATGTTCTGCATAAATCCACACACCCCTGATGTTATCTGTCAAACTTTCATAGCGAATCAAAACAAACATAGTGTAGTAATAGAATTTCAACTAGAATAGGGTACGTTAATCGTTTGCTTGGGACCAATAGGCTACTAAAGTGGTGAGCCAATTTAAAATCGTTAGTTTCGTATTGATTGTTGGTACTACCTCCTTCCTCTTGCGTTTCATAACATTTGAATGGGTGAAAGAGCTCTACACCAGGTCAGACGGGATAAGGTGAGACCCGGAATCACCCATCGAAAAATAAATTAACTATTCCAAGTTATCTTGATTTACTCACATAAACTGCTCCTTCGCTATCCTTAAACCGAGGCCACACCTCCAAAAGCTTCTGGAACTTATTTCTTTCGTTCTGCAGATCTTTGATACTATCAAGACGAAACTTTACTGTTCTTCTCCAACGCTCTTTAACATCTTCGACGGGAACATTATTATTCATCAACCAGGCATGATCTTCCTTCAGGATAACTAAATCTGGATATAAATTTATGCAGGAAAATACCATGTAAAAATCATGTTAACATTAAATCTGTTGAAAAACTTTTGTTACCTTCTTGACTGAAATGTTGATGAGCTTCACTTGTTCTTGGATCGTCGTTGGGGTTTTCCAGTTTGCGTTTCCTCTGAACTGGTGGCTGGAATGCTTTCCGATCTCGCGAGTTATAGTACCGGTTATATATCAATCCAGACGGGTTCAATTTGCCAATTTCTTTATCACGAGCACATAGATAAGCGTCCTACAAAACAAATAAAGGAAACAAAACTACTTGTAGAAGAACACAAGCAATAATTCTTATTTTTGAAGCAATAGATACTTTTGTTTCAGAAGAAAATTTTGCGGAAATAAGTTCACTGAATTTTTCCATATCTGATTACGGGAAGGGCTTTTCTAATGAAATATATGAATCGCAGATGATTTCACTCAATTGCTTTCGCATTAGGTTATTGAGTGTCTGAAATTTTTCAAAATATTTCGAAATTATTTTTCCTTTCTCATTATTCTTCAGCAGTTGTTCTAAGTCCTCAGACTGAACTTGTGACTTTGAAAAGTTCAAACTTCTTGAGCATCCTTCTTGAGGTGGTTGATATTGTTTGGACTCCGACCAGCAGCGCAGTTTCGATCGCAATCGAATTTTTTCTCCAGTCCTGCTGGGACTAAATACGTCATCAACGTCGTCCTTCGAGAGTAATTTAAGATCCTCGTATGTCAAGCCTCTTTCTGAAAAAAAAAGTAACAAAAGATTTATAAACTACTGGGAAAATTAGGACATGGATCTTTTTGCTATTTGCTGAAGGAAGTGTTACCTAAAGCTACAACAAATTTAAACAGCACTTTTCAGTGCTCAATATAACCACAAACGAAGTGACAGACGGAGCGGCTCGAAAACTTTGGTGACTAACCTGCTATTGCAATTTTTCAGTGTACCACATGGCAACACCACTACCAGTGGATTGTACCACATGGCAACACTACTACTGGATTGAACTAGCATTTTCACCAAATGTACTAGAATGTTTTGGTTCTATCTCTTTCACTCTACTCAAAACTGGAATGCATAAAAAAATGACAAAATGATATACACTCTTTGCACACTGTCAAAGAATCATTGTACACAAAATCAACTTCGTGCAAAACCAAAACAAAAATACTATCCCATCTGGTGGATGATGGCACAAGCTTCTAAGAAAATTCTATTACAGCGAACCACATTATTTTAATTGATTTCTTCACCAGTAAGTCGTCTGTCACTTCGTTTGTGATATAACCATAGAGGTAACTCTAAGACCACTGGGTCCCGAAGAAAATCATTATTATTTTTGGCTCACCCAGTACCAGAACAACGGTCCCAAGCAGTCCCAAGCTATTTCACTCACCCCTGCATGTTCTGCATGAATCCACACACCCCTGATGTTATCTGTCAAACTTTCATAGCGAATCAAAACAAACATAGTGTAGTAATAGAATTTCAACTAGAATAGGGTACGTTAATCGTTTGCTTGGGACCAATAGGCTACTAAAGTGGTGAGCCAATTTAAAATCGTTAGTTTCGTATTGATTGTTGATATAACTGTGAATTATCTACCTTCTTCGAATCTTATTATTTATTATTTTATTTAGTGTAAAATAGCAAAAATTATAGAATGACGCGAGCTTTTTGCAATCAGAAAAAAAAACGCATTTGAATTTATCGAAATGTATCAAGATCTTCAACCGTTTTCGAATTATAGTTACAATGTCTTTCTGTGCTTCGGAACAAGTACTCCACCCCACCTCTCCTAACAACCCAATTTTGTCAAAGGAGTGGCGAAGTGGCACGTAACCCTTACCGATATAGTAAAAAGCATTTAATTTTTCATAATATGGTGCCACGCCATCTCTTCAGAGCCCATTTCATCCTACCGTGGACGCAGCTAAAGAAATATAAAAAAATCAATGTTTTTTTTAATCACTTCTTGATTAAACTCTTAAAAAAGCTGCGTGTCACTATTTGACATATCAAAGAAAAGGAACAAAAAATGTAAGAATGGTCAAGTCGAATTTATTTAAAAAAAATGGAAAAAATAGCTTTTGATATTGTTTACGCACTATTGTTCTTAATGTGACGCAAAATGTTTCCAAATTAAAATGTTATGAAAAATGTACATAACAGTATAATATTAATTAATGAGTTGGGCCGGAACATATATGCACCAATTAGTAGACATCCATTAATCAATCAAGCCTTGCCATGTTTAACTTGCATTCTGGTTTTTCGAGAATATGTGAGAAGGTTTGCATTGTCCATGAAAGAACTATTTAATCAAATCAGTTCATACTACTATTGAATCTTAAAAATAGTAATGTGTTGTCAAGAAAGATTAAAAAAATAAGGTTACCCACAAACAGTTTTTCGTGACGAATGTAAGAGTTGAGTGTTAATAAATAAGTGGGAATGACACTGATGAAGACTGAACATTGTAGTCGAAATACGTATTTATCATGGATACCAAAATGAATTAATTGGAATTAAATGGAAAATAACTTTTTTTTTTTGCTGTTTTATATAAGCATTCCGCTAACATCCCAATTTCATTACTTCAAAATAAGTACCGGTTATTAGGATTGTTAGGAGTAATTTCGTGAAACACATGTCTGTGTGCGAGCATAATACAGAAGTGAGTCAAGTTTGTAATTGCGTCTAATATGATGCATCCACGACATGCATTAATAAAGATGAAAACAGCTTTAGATATTAATTTGCCATCAAATTCTAAAAGCACAAACGAAGTGACAGACGGAGCGGCTCGAAAACTTTGGTGACTAACCTGCTATTGCAATTTTTCAGTGTACCACATGGCAACACCACTACTACTGGATTGTACCACATGGCAACACTACTACTAGATTGAACTAGCATTTTCACCAAATGTACTAGAATGTTTTGGTTCTATCTCTTTCACTCTACTCAAAACTGAAATGCATAAAAAAATGACAAAATGATACGCACTCTTTGCACACTGTCAAAGAATCATTGTACACAAAATCAACTTTGTTCAAATCAAAACAAAAAAACTAACCCATCTGGTGGATGATGGCAAAAGCTTCCAAGAAAATTCTATTACAGTGAACCACATTATTTAAATGGATTTCTTCACCAGTAAGTCGTCTGTCACTTCGTTTGTGCTAAAAGGTACATTATGTGCTAAACCCTATATTGCAATACAAAAAATGTAAATACAACAAACAACACAGGCATACAAATTGACTTTTCCCCTATGTAATACGTGTTTAAGGACATTGATATAAGTGAAAAAAAAGATAGATTACCTTTCAACAATACGTATATACTAGGAGCCAGTTTCCATTCAATCGTCAAGATCTGTTTTAGAGGAGAACCAGTAGATGGATCCGTTGACATCTCAGACGTTCTGGGATAGAAGTTACTGGGAACGGTTGCTGGAGCTACAGAACTGATTAATGTTTCCACAGCCTCATGCGGCTCCAATCGGTGACATGACTCAGGAGCTGCCACGGCCGTTTCAGTGACCGGTGTGGATACGTTTTGTTCAGCTGTAGAAGATAAAATAATAACATTTAAAACAATATACAAAGAGAAATAGAAATCTATCCAAATTTATAGCAGAGTTGTTGCAAAGTTTAATATGTCTCGATCGATTTTTATTTTGAATTTTTGGCTTACCACGGATATACAAAACAAACATTCAAGCGTAACTATTCAAATCGACGTAACTGATTTTGTAAACAATCACTTCAATCGACGATTTGTCTTAACTGCTAACTCACCCACGTAAACACCATCATCAGGTAGGGGAATCTCTCTCCTACTATCTGGTGTTGTTAGTGTCTGTGAGTGAGCTAGCAGTTGTCACAAATCGTCGATTGAAGTGATTGTTTACGAAATTAGATACGTCGATTTGCATAGTTATTCTTGAATATCAATAGAAATTGGATTTTTTTTTCATCATGTTTTAACTTTATGTATGTACACAGCCAATGAGATCAAATCAAATTTGAGTTTTGTTCACTCAAATTCGCCAATATGTCGTTAACTAATAGACTGAGATAGTTTTCTGGTATTTTCCTCAAAAATCTGCTCGAATGTGAGAAAAATCGTTGAAAATTTTACAGTCTAGGTGTACAAAAATAACTTGCTACTTACCTTTCGGTATGAGCTCGGACCCTATTTGAGTTTGTTGTTTGATAATAACAGGATCTGATGGTCGAAGTCCGGTTGGCGTGTCATCTACTGTGAAGTAAAAAAAAATAATAAGAGAAAAAAATGAGGTTATGCATTTTTGTTAATGGCTGCTTTGTCTTAAAGGTTATGTCAGTTATTCTTTTTATGTTCTAAGTTCAATATTACTCACCAGCTAATGTATCGAAGCTTGGATCATCCTCCTTAAGGGGTTCATCTTCGTCCCCGAAATCTTCTGATATATCGGAATCATCTAGAGATTCCAAAATTTCAACCTCTTCCTCCTCACCTACATCTTCTTCTTCTTCCGCTTCCTCTTCATACATCTCAACGTCCAGAAATTCTGGCTGAGGTATCATATTTCTTTTCACTTCTACTCTTAATCTAGCACTGAATGTATATTTACTTACTATGAATCACTAGACGAAACAGCCGCAACATTTAAAACATCCGAAACGCGAAAACATCCGAAACGCGAAAACATCCGAAACGCGAAAACATCCAGTTTCAATATCGACGGGCACGAAATACAACCACTACAAACGCCGACCAAAACGACTCGCTTGTATTGTTACAGCACTGGGCACTGTGAGTTGTTTGTCCCTTTCATTCCTATGCTGTTCTTATGAGCCAGCTAATGTGATGTCGTACACTGCATATCAAATAAGAAGCAGAGGAACGAAAGAGACAACGAATTCCATACGGTCAAACCCGAAATATGTGATATTGTGGTTGTGTTGTACGATTTGACAATTCTACAATTTTCACGTTAAAAGAAAACACTTTCAAATCGACAACAGAACCGATGAAAAAACACTGTTAAATCAAACAAATCACTTTCATACTAAAAATTTTCCCTTTTATTTCAATAAAAACAAACCACTTCTTAAAACAAAAGTGCAAAATATTCAATAGAACAATTTTTGTATTTTGTGTGTACTATCTTCGGTCCCAAGCTAATCGATGCACCCCTCGAAACAAAGGAAAATCCACGAACCCCTTATTTTATCTGTCAATTTTTCATATAGCGAATCAAAACAAACATAGTGTAGTACTAGAATTTCGACTAGAATGGGGGTACGCTTATATATTTGCTTGGAACCATTAGGCTAGTGTAGTAGTTAGCCAATTTAAAATCGTTAGTTTCCACCGATTGATAATACTTAATGAGTATTGGAACTAAAGTTTAGAGTGAGATGCCCCTAGAGTCGGCCCTTTGAACAAATTTACTCGAACCGAGTCTCAGCTTTGTGCTCGCGGCCAACTTCGTCTAAAGCCTTGGAGAAGCTAACATACACGATGTTTACGAAAGCTAAAGAATATTATTGACGATTACATTCACAAATCGTGCCGATTTAAATTACCTGTTTAGCGCCCATTCTATCAGAATTCCATTTGTATTTGGATTCACTACATAGATGGCCATATAAGTTCTAGTTTCGCTATCAGACGCCAGGTGGCATGCTGCAGTTATGGATTAATGATGAGCATTACATTGTCACACAGTGCATGACGTTACGTTCTCTTTTCAACAGGACAGCTCATTCACAAATGTCAAACATTTAGCAACATAGTGAGTCTGATGTCAGTACAAACACATACAAAAGTTTATGCACACTATGCCAACGGTAGCGGCACATTGCTGGACTAGCCGTCAAACATTAACACAAAGGCAAAAAGTCTATTCCCCAGTCAGTGCAAAATAAGTACTGAAGAAAACACAACATGGTGCAAGAGCATCGGTCAGGACACTTGAGCATCAATTCTACTCGATGGTGACATATTGACAAACAAGCGAAAAGTAGTCACTTTTTATCATCTCAAAACGAGTGATTAGCATTTATTCTGTTTTATGTTAAGCAGTGGCAATTGAGTTTTCGCGTTTGTGGTTATCGAAAAAACTTGAATGAAATTATTCTGAATGTGAGCCAGACAATTCAATCGCATTTCTACTTCTAGTCTAGGCAGTGCTGAGTTTCGTCGGGATCACTGCAAAGAAGAACAAACTATTTTTACCTTTCATCGGAGATTTTTCTCACACCATTTAGCAGATCATTAGAAGGAAGTGAATTTGTCGGGAACGAACCGCTTCTCTAATTTTAGCAATCCACTGTGAATGCAAGTTTGGTGTTCTTCCCGAGCTGATTAGTGAAAGTAAGTCCCAAAAAAAAGACAGGAAAGTTTTGGTTCAATAATCTGAAAAGCAAGAGAACGGCACTGCGCTTACGCGAAGGTCAACTTTGGAAAATGGAATCTGACGTTCCCTAACAGGCGATGGGACAAGTGTTCGCGGAGTTCCAAGAACCATATCCGACCAAAAATCGATGTACGACAACCGTAGAAAAAATCGAACCGAAACAGGAAGCATCCATTATTTCGCTGGAAAGTGTGAAACGCTAGAAGGGATCAATTTTGGTGATTTATGTGTTGCTATGCCCATTGAGTCCGTCGTTAAAGAGTGTGTAGCTCGTTGCATCCAACAGTGGCGACGAGAGGGTTGTGCGTTGATTGAATAATGAAATAGGTAAAGGCTGTGGACCGCCGTAGAAGCAAGTGTAGATCAAAACAGAATACACATATCTACCTTCTCTACGCACATATCGTGGTTTGTACTTCTTAGGAAGGAAAAGATATACATACTAGTTACTCTCTGTACAACTCGGTGACTTAAAATTGGTGTCGTTTTCGGTGCAACAGTAGACAACAGAAAAGATAGCTCCAATGAAAAAAGTAATGATACCTTCGTTGGATATGAAAAAGAGTGTTTCGGTCAAAGTAGATAGTGATCTGACATTGCTACTATCCAGTGGAGTGTACGAAATCAAAAAAATGGAGCCCCGCAGGCGGCTCCGTCCAATTGTGATAATCTGCTTGTTTCTCACCATTGCCGGTATCATCGGGTTTGGATACTTTTGCCCGGATCAGGTACGTTCGGAACGTTGCGTTTGTAGCAAGGTACTTTGTACATCGTAGTAACAGTAACCGATTAGCATTGGAATAAATCAAGACCGTTGAGGAGATGTTCGCTAACAGCGATGGAGAGTTTGCATTGTTAACTTGAAAGCGAACCCCACACGTATCAATATATTGACGCGAAGGAAGATTATTGATAATAATATGAATGATGTGAATACAGAAATATTGTCAATATCGATGCATTGACGTCAATAATGAATGTATTGACAATACGATTATTGTCAATAAATACAATCGTGTAAGGTACACTGAAGGCTTTGAGACGAGCCTTAAAAACATTAACCGAAGTGTTAATTACGCAGAAAAGAAACCCATCCATATTGTCTCTGTTCAAAATATTCAGCTCATAATTTAGTACCTCAGGAATTCTGAGCAAATTCAACAAAAAGATGACCGCGCCACAGAATTCTATTCGATGATGTTTCCACGTCTGGCAACGGCGGAGCGGAACGATCTGACTTGTCGAAGACAACATTGTCTGTATCTACAGCCTTGATGAGAACTGTTGAGCTTTACTACATAAAAAGAACTTTGGTTCTTTGTGGTCAATCGAGGTTATTATTTCATCGGTTGAAAATTGTTCAAAACTTTTCAACAAAAAAAGATAGCAACTTGATTGCTTTCAACAAATCGCTCATAAGAAATCAATGTATACATAGCTATTGTTGAAAAACCGATTCAATAGGTTCCACCCTAAGTTACTTATTAACGGAAAGCATATAGCTAAAAAATATATTACGTTAAAAAAAAATTCCAAGCATAAGAACACAATTTCTGGATCATTAACTACTTTTTGAAAAACTGTCGGTGTCTAAATTACAGTGACAATTTCATAGTTGGAGATACTTAACGTCGAAAATCAGACTTAAAGTGGTCATTTTATACGATAGATGAGGAAATGAAAGTATAGAGTTGATATTGATAGTTCCGTTAGAGCACGGCAGTGTTAAAATTGTATATAGAGAGTAAAAAGCGAGCAAAAGCAAGGGGTAATCAACTCTACACACTGTGCCGACACACAGCATGGCACACTGTTTGGCATGCTAGGACACACGTTGACAAGTAGGACACAAACATTATAATATAAAACGGCATCATTGTCGAGTGTCGATGTTTTGCCAATCGTTGCTAAGGTTTGCTCCATTGGGCTTCACAATGGGTTCAAGGATCATGCCTTGCCACTTTTCGATAAAATGGAAAATCTGTTAGTATTTTATGAACCATGAATCTTCTCAAAACCTACAAATCTCATCCGATTCGTAGCGAAACTCTCAAATGGTTTCGTCCAGAACATCTTCTATTCGGGTCTCATGCGAATAGTCGGTAGAGAAGGTCTTGTCGATACGGCAGTTAAGACAGCCGAAATGGGTTACCTTCAGCGACGGCTAGTCAAATAACTGGAAGATGTGGTAGTCCAATACGACGGTACGGTATGGAATTCGAACGGCGAACTGTATGGACGAAAATCATCTAAACGACGATAAAATTGTGGCGACTGATGATTTTTTTAAAGTCTGGTATACAGAATAAAAAATAAAGAAAAAAAGCTCATCAAAGGGGGTTGGGGAGGGGAAGGGGGTCATTTAGGTTCAAATTCCGGTCTTGCCAAGGGTCTTCCGGGATAAAAGTTTTCTCGTTTTCCCCTGCGTTTTCCCTCAGATATTCCTGCCAGTCATTGGTTTGAATTGGGCATGGACATCGATGATAAATCAACAGCACTTTATTAGGATGTTCATAGAAGCCCCTGTACTGCTGGGGATGTCGATATGTTAACCTAACATATTCCGTCAGATCTGGACCCATGTATAGTTGCCTTAGTGCAGATCAATGCAATTACATTCCATTCCTTGAGTTCGTCATCAAGCATATACCCATCATAAACGATCAGGTAATTTTTCAGTTGTATCTCTGTCATTGCCCTTCTGTTGAACTAATTCAAGAGGCCCCGATGCGATGGGTGGCCTACCGATCAGTTCATGTAAGGCCAGTAAGGCCTTGCTTAATCTCTAAACTTTTTCGTGGTGGAAGGGGTTTCGGTGGGGTCAACGGTTTCCGCATGACGAAGCTAAGCAACTTGCTGTTTGGCACGAGCCAATGGGCGTGCAAATGAGCAACATAAACTACAGGGTCCTGTCTACTGTAGAACTCCAGATGCGAAGCTTTTTTGGATCACAACCCGAGCAAAGTACAGCATCAAAATGACAGCAAATTGAAATCAAGTTTTGATATCAACATCAAACTGAAATCATAATTTGATTTCAGTTTACGCAATTGACAAATTTGATACCTAATTTTGTTTTCATTTTGCTGTACATTTGCTCTCCAGAAATATGCTGTTGCGGGTTTGTTTTCATTGCCTTAGCATAACATCAAATTGAATACTTGTTTTGCTATCAACAGGAAAAATGGATATCAAATTTGGTTTTCAGTTTGCTCTCACTGATAGCAGAAATAGTTTTCAATGTGATGTCACAGGAAGATTTTTTTGCTCTCAATTTTGATATTTTAACCGTTAAAGCGACCAAAACGACAGCAACCTGAGTAATCATTATCAGCGAAATCACAACATCAAATTTAGATTTCAATTTGATCTCAGACTTTGCTCGCGAAACCATTTCAGAAGTATGACTGATCTGGAGTGGGGGGATTTGATAGTTTTCATCGGTGGTATATTGGCCATTGCTTTTCATTGGTAGTATATTGCGGAAGATATCATAATTAGCGATACGATGTCGTCGAGGATTGAACTTTCGCCCGTTCGAGTGTTGGTTTTGGTTTTATCGGGGAGCATTTAATAGGAAGCTGGAGGTAATTTCGTCCAGCATCAATAGGTTCGTTTCTGCACACGTTTCATTTGAACGGGTCGAAATTGCTGCAACACCGTATAGGTTGAATGGCTTCCAGTTCCTCTTCCACTGTCCGCTCCGCTCACGTTCAAATGAGAAGGAAGCTTAATGTTTGCTATAAACCATCAAAGAAATTTGAAATGAAAACACAATCACAACAGTCAGTATAACTTCAGGGTTGCCAAACTCATGTGATATTGACACCTTGATTGGTACACTTCGGCACTTTCTGAACAGCGTTTGGCATAGCTTTAGGCACAGCTAAATCTCACGGTACAGATTATGATGTACAGAGTTGAATACCCCTTGAGCAAAAGTCAATTTTGAGGAAGGCACGAATAGGGTTGATCATCTCCTTTACCAAACTCCCCTACCACTGGCAAAAGAGATGATCACCGATTTGCTCACGTACCTTCGAAGTGCGGACGAAGTTCTATCGATTGTTTCACAATCGGGTGCTGGTGGTGTAGTGGTAAGCGGGATTGCATTCTCACCCCAATGGGTCTGAGTTCAATCCCGAGGTCAGTGGGATTTTTCTGAGGCATAAAAATCTCTGGTCACGTCTTCCTTCGGAAGGGAAGTAAAGCCGTTGGTCCCGGCCCATGTGTTGTTGAATGGGTGTGATATCCTACGCAGGTGTGGAAGCTGCCTTCCTGCACATTCGATTTTGTCATTAATAGATGGCAATCGATATCCGTCGGTGATTGACACTACCTAGATTGCGGAACAGAGACAGAGTGCACTGGTGTGAAAGAGTCAAGTAGCGCTAGTTGTTCTTTCACAACAATTCAATTCAATGCTGGTCGGAGCACGTCTTGGTCTGGTGGGAATATTTCCATAGTAACCCTGCTCTAAAATAATACACCATAAGTACGCGAATAACATATTCAGTTTCTTTCTTTGTCCATCTGCTCACGACACATACACCTATATAATCAGTGTGATCAGAAATCACACAAACTGTTATGCTATTCCCGTATAGTTCAAAAATAATACATGGTGTATTATTTTTGAGCTATAATTTTATTGCAGCGAATGTTCAATATATTAAGTTTTCTATAAAATCAAGAAAATATGTAACAGCGTAAAGTTGTCATACTCAAATAGGAGGAGGGGAGGATGAAGTTGAATCTGCATAGCTTTTTGGTACTTGGGCTTCAAGAAGGCTAGATGATGTTGTGTTCCCATTGCCACATTCTCCCATATAAACAAAAAATAAAATAAAGCAAAATAAAGTTAAAATAAGCTATACCTTTGCAATGCATTATTGTAGAGACTAGCGTTCTTCTAAAAATACATGTGTTTTTACTGTTTTAAGATTATTTAGAACATTATATACTGTAAATATAAAAGAGTAATAAACTAGCTTATGAAGTAATGAAAAAAAAAAAGATAAAAAATGTTATAACTTTACAAGGAGTAATTGTAATAAATCATGATCTTCAGCGTGTGTTTTGATTGTTTAAATAATTGTCTAGAACATTGTTTACTTAAAAAATGAAATTTAAAGAAGTTAAGTATGAAAAACTAAATTTAAGGGAACTTCCATAGAAAAAGCTCCATAACTCTGAAAATACAGGATTTAAAATGTTGACGTCTTGAGTGAAGTTGCTTGTTTTTACATTGTCTACAACTTTGCTGAAGACATCGTTCCCGTATATCCTCAAAGAAAAAAGTTAGTGTTTTTATTTTTTGCATAGTAAGACATGACTAATTTTTGACAGTTTTATATTATGTAAAATATGTATACAAACATTTTTTCCGAAGACACTATATGGCTAAATTGTAAAGGCTAGGCTCTAGGAATAAAGTTCCACTTTTTGCCGTATTGGACCACAGTGCAGTGCAAGTCGATGAAGAATGGATGAAGGTGGTCCAGTCATGCTGCATCCGTGCATTCGTCGTCGTCTTCGTATTGGTGCGATGCGTGCTGTTAAACTCATACGAAGTGTCAGACGCTTATCCGTCCATTACTCGAAAGTAAATGACGAAGAAAACGATTTGGCAAGCGTATCTATTATCACTGCTTTTCTCCTCCCTTCAATTCATTGGTGAAATGGTGAGCGGTCAACCGAGCGATGCGCTCGCTCATGTGAGCATGCG